TTGCTTTGGCATCACTATACTAATAGGTGCGATATCTTCTACTACTATCATATAACATGAGAATAACACCTACAAGTTTAACCGTATCTAGTCAATGTCCATTCTTGACAATGCTACGACTTGGGATATTTAATGATATCATTTATATGCATTAGTGTTTGTTTCACATCTTTCGATCAATCACTATTATAAATGAATATCATAAGGACTTCTATCTAATTCTACTAACTTAATAAATATAAAACATAAAAGTTAATAGAAAGAATTTTTTATTATTAATAAAATAAATGATACAATAATACAATAACTCAAACATATCCAAACATAGTTGGATCTTGATCACCTATATTAATAATCTCTCACTTGCACTAGACCCAACCAGCCATGTCCCTTAATCTCGACGATCAAGTAAGGGTCTCATGTTTCAACTATGACAAAGACTTAGTCAAAGGATCAGTTATGTTGTCATCAATGTGAACCTTTTCTATCCTTGTGTCACCACAAATGATTATCTCTCTAATCAAATGACAACCAATACATTCTTAGACCGTTGATGAGACCTTGGTTCCTTAGCTTATGCTATAGCTCCGTTGTTGTCATAATAAAATACTATTGAATAAAAAACGCTAGGAACCATTTATAGTTAAGATAAAAATTTGAGAATCCAGACAACTTTCTTAGTCGCTTCGTAGTTACAATATATTTAGCTTCGGTTGTTGAGTCGGCTCATCGTTTCTTACTTGGAATCCTTCTAGCTAACAACTCCACCATTTAATTGGAAAATAAATCCCGATCGTGACTTAAAATCATCATGATTAGTTTAAAAACTAATATCGGTGAATCCTTTCACCACTAGTTCATCTCCTCTATAGACTTAAAAAACATCTTTAACTCTTCTTAAGTACTTAAGAATACTTTTAACAACAATCTAGTATTTTTCATCCAGATCAAATTGATATCTACTACATATACTTAACGCATATGAGATATCAAATCAAGTACATAACATGACATATATAATAGATCTTATGGTCGATGCATAGGAAACACGACTCGTCCTTTCCTTTTCGTTTTGTGTGTTAGGACATTCAACCTTAGAAAGTTTTATGCCATGTGACATTGGAATAAGTCATCTCTTAGATTCTTCCATAACAAACCTCTTTAGTATTTTATTAACATACGTACTTTGGGAGAGTCCTAACATTCTTCGTGATCTAGCTCTATAAATCTTGATTCCTAGAATGTAAGTCGCTTCTCCCATGTCTTTCATGGAGAAATTTTTAGATAACCAATCTTTTATATATTATAACATGGTAGTGTTATTTCCAATAAGCGATATATCATCTACATATAGCATAACAAAATTAATTAAGCTCCCACTAACTTTTTTGTATACACAAGGTTCATTCTCGTTTTATGAAAAGTCAAAATTTTTTATCGTTTCATCAAAATATGGATTCCAACTTCTTGATGCTTGCTTAAGTCCATAAATGGATCTTTGTAATTTGCAAATCTTATTTGCATGTTCTTTAGCGACAAAACCATCGAGTTGTGTTATGTACTCATCCTCATTTAGTTTTTCATTAAGGAAAGCGATTTTGACATCCGTCTACCATATCTCATAGTCGTGATATGTAGCAATCGCAAGCATAATCTAAATGGATTTAATTGCTCGTTGGTGAAAATTTTTATCATAATTAACTCTTTGTTTTTACGATATCCTTTTGTCACCAATCCGGCTTTGTATGGCTTTGTATGTATGTATATATCCATCCATGTTAGTCTTTATCTTAAAAATCACTTACACTCAATAGGTTTGACAACTTCATATGGATCAACCGAAGTTCATACTTGGTTAGTGAACATAGATTTCATTTCGAATTACATGAGCATATGCCATTTTTCGGAGTCAATGTCTAACATTGCCTCTTCATAGGTGTTAGGTTTGTCATCTCACATAATAGACGGATGTCCATATGTAGAGACTAGAGAGCCATATCTTGTTAGCTATTGACGAATCTTCCCGACCTATGAAGTTCTTGTGTATTGATTTGTGGGATAGTTACAACGTTTTGTAACTTTTTTACTTAGGATTCCTCTTGTGGAGTGCCAATTTATGACTCTTCTCGAATCTCATTGAGTTTAACTTTCTAATTGTGTTAAGAGTTAAACGGATCGGATGCTAAATTGATGACACTTTTATTTTTGGGATTTGAAGTTAATTTAATATGATTTTATGATAAAAATGAAACTCATTCTTTGAACTTAGAAAAAAATAAGCTTTGAACTTAAGAGATATTTTGGAAAACATTACTTTTAGGAGATGATATTTAGAATTAGATCGAACTCGGTATCTTTTTTTCGAAAAGGATACCTCTTGGTGATTGTTATATTTTTAGTTGGCACAACTAACTCCTTACTCAAGTCTCTAAATGTAGTATTTTTCTAATTTTTCTCAATAGTAGGTGACGACTCGTAAAACCTCTTATTTCTTTTCCTTAGTTATTGGAAGTCACATATGTCGGGTAGCAACAATGTGTTTGATGTTTATATATCAAACACATTGTTGCTACCTTGACATATATATGATAAATGTATAATTAGCATGATTTTTATATTCTATTACATTAAACTTTCGGATACTTATTGTATTATATTATGTTATTTATGAACAAGATGACGGTTTTAGGTTTTGTAGGAAAAACGATGCATCAAAGCAAGAAAACCCAAAACCTAAAGAGAAAAGAGAGAAACTCTAAAAAGGCTTAGAGGAGTCACATGATTGTGTGAAATAACAAAGAAAATAGCTACTAGCCATGTGACTTAAAGGAGGAAACCTTATGAAATCTTAAGCATAGCAAGTTATACGAGCAAAACCATTTCCATACGGCCATGTGGGTGAGTGAACCTAGCAGAACAAAAGGGAAGAAGAAGACCACATGGGCAGTAGGCTTTTTATACGGTTTGCAGTGTAAATTCGTATGCTTATGTCTCTAAGGAAAAAAAAGGTATACACGAGCAGTAATAAATTCAATACGGTTTGAAGAAGGAATCCGCATAGGCAAAAGCTTGGCTACATGGAATGAAGAACAAAGTTACACGACCGTGTGCCTTAGTTAGCAAACCACATGACACTTAATTTCCAAAGTTTCAAACCATGTGATATTAAGCAACAAACCATGTGACTTTATGTATCAAACTCGTGTGACCATGTAATGTCAACACAAACGTGATGTAACCTACTTTTGGGTATAAATAGCAAAGCTAGGGTATTATTTGCCCCCTCATCTCTTCCAGACTCTTGTACGACCACCATTAATAGAAATTTTCTTTGTAATACATTATGAATAACTAAACTCCATTCTTAGTTGAATCAAGTTCAAGCTTTTGGTTAATCACCGTGAGATTACTGATTTTATTTTTAAACTTATATTTATTGTGTATTTTATATTTTTCTACATGATTGGTTCATAGTTGTATGATTAATTCAATTATAGTGCACGTTAGTTGTTTATTCATATTACTTATTGCTAGCTAAGTATTCAAATTCATGTAATTGTTTGTCTAAACTTGCATATGGTAGTAACTAGAGGTTGATGATTATGTGATGTTTTCATTCGGTTCCTTGAAAAACATGTGACTATGTTACATCTTCTCTAGCACTTAGGAAGGTGGCTTAGCTTCACTCGTCTTTCTCATCTTAATGCTCGTTATTGGATTAAATCTGTCCGACACTTAGTGGATTGTTCAATAATTAGGGAAATAATTGGATATCGTATATTCGGTTAACGCACAGGTAAGGAAAGACTAGAGTCAACATACATGTTGTTGTCTTACGGTGCATATTCATGTTAGGATGAATTAATTATTTAATCAATGATCGGTGACCAAACCAAAAATAGATACCGAAATTCAACTAAGGCCTCTCTCATACTCGTTATCTCTTACTATTTTATATTATTTTCAAGCATCTCAAACATACAAAACCCCCATTTACACACAAGAATGCTCAAACAACTCGAAACAATTAACTGATTCTCTTTTTTTATGAGTTCGATCCTTACTTGTCATGATTACATAACCGTGATTAAAAGCTCGGTAAGAACATATTATAAATTACTAATTTGTTAGCGGTATGACATGCCATCACCTAAGGTTTTTCATAGGGTTTTTTTTAATAAAATAAAAGGTTTTCTAGAAAAAATTGGGAAAAAAAGCATAACTTGACCTATTTACCATTTAAATAAAACAAAAAAGTTTTTAGCAATGTAAAGAAATAAAAAATTTCGTGCGATAAATAAATAAAGAATTAGCCTTTTCCAGTTAATTATCAATTTTTTTCCTTCTAAAACTAGAAGCACTAGTAATCTAACGTGTCCCTTCTTTTTTCAAAGTCAAATTTGTTGGAATATTAGTTTGATCATAGAGGGATTCCCGGTGTTGAGAAGACCAAACCACTCGCACAAAAATTATTCAAATTGAAATCACATGATATTTTTTATCAAAAAATTATAACAAGGATATCTAATATCATTAAACCAAATAAATAGCATAGATGAATACCCCTTTTTTTTTAAGGAAAAAAAGGAAGGAAGAAAGAAAAATCTCTTTTGGCTTTAATCATGGCTAAATGACGTTGAATATGGCATCTTGTGCTCACTAACCTTACCATGATAAACTCCAAAATCCATGTGATAACATGCTGAAGACGTAGGAAACAAAGAAAATACTTTATACTTTGTCAAGCCAAGTCACGTTACGTACAATGCACACTCCAGGACAATCTCATACCCAGTTAAAACCAAAACACCGCAAATCCACAATCAAGTAACTAAATCCCTCTAAACATGGGAGAGGCTTTAAAGCAAAGAAAGTTGCCGACTTACGGGGACATCCTGGTGGAGCCACCCCCAATCATCCCCCCAACTCAGGTCAACTTGCAGACCCTGAAACCCATTCTAAGACTAAGCCCCCGTCATAATGGTAGCACCCTCTACGACTCATACGAGCTCAGAGCTGTGACCAACCAACTCAACAAGGCCATGCAAGGCTATATCGCTCCCCGAATCTGTTGTCGTTGCTGAAATCTCCTTTCTACAGCCAGCGTTTAGAAAGAATTTACAAGCAAAATGCAAAATCATCAAAGAGATTTACATATCCAAAGTTGGCCCATGTATCCCTGGGCAGAAAGGCCAGCACAACTGGTACAAAGTCAGCTAAAAGGGGACTTGCGAGCAGGATATGGCAGAAAGTTAGACAAGGGTTGTCAAGAACTAGGCAAACGAGCAAGCGTTAATCAAATTGGAGTTTAATCTGATGGAATAAGATTCATTTTTTTTCCTGCCACCGAAAATGTGGCATATTTGAGAGTGAAGTAAGAGGAAACAAGTTGCATTGAACTTGAAACTGAAATCAAACTGAAAGGTATAAAAACAATGGATGCTGATTCGGTCTTTCTAAGGCATATTCTCTAATTGCCCTTTCTATTAATTTTTCCCATGGGGCATATGTCTATATTCTCTAATTGCCCTTTCTATTAATTTTTCCCATGGGGCATATGCTATCAACTTATTCTAAACCGAGTTCATTTACAAACTTGCTTCCGCTAGAAGCAGTAACTAAACACCAAACATGCAAGACATTTGAATTAAGATATGAAAAACCTATCACCTTCACCAAAGTTGCAACCAAACCACGATGTCAGTTAATAAAGATGATATCTTAAGACAGTCTAAGTGCCATTTCTTGCAGAAGAGCCCGCTTCTGGGAAGCATTAATCACATGGTTTGTTTCAGCATTCTCAAGCACATCCGTTATTATGGCAGCTGCATGACCAAGAGGCTCCTCAGCTGCTCTCTTCAACATGAAAGCCTGTCAACAAGAGGAATCAGGTAACCAAACAATCAATCATGACCAGGAAAAAATTAGGTTCTTGATACGGTCATTTTCGCAAACATCCACAAAAAAACATTTGCAGCATTTGAAAACATCCCTTAACAGGCCAAACCAGACAAATATAGAAAATTAGAATGACCTTCCAAGCCCCTAAAAATTTGTAATCACCTTTTTCTGTTTCATTTTCTTCTACACCACATATAAGTACAGAAATTTATGATCAATTAAGTTGAGATACTTTAAAAACATTGTCTACTTCTAAAATGTGGTAGCTTGAATATCCAAGGAGTTGACTGGATAACGAACTGCCCAAGGCACAATAGCTACTGAAGCATTCACATAAACAGGTGAACATAAATCAAACAGGATACTAATATCTAAACTTGAAAACTTCATAAAAAAAAAAATGCTGGTTTGGAACTTTAAAATAATGTTTTCCGAAAAACAGTGAGCACAAGTTGGTCCATGAACAGGTGGTGCATGACAACTTTGGGGTTTCTGGATCTTTCAGAGGTTGTTAAGAGCTGTCAACAGTAATTTAGGGTTTGAGTTGACCTTTAAATGGTTAATAACTGGGTAATGAGCTTGAGCGTCCCTCTACTATCCATTTTCTCTTCAACGGGTCCCTCATCTTTAAAATTTCTTAAGCCAGCCCTAAATGAGATTGACTTGTACAATTTGCTCATTTCCATCTTGAGTATCCGTAATGCGGTGCTCTTGCTCCTTTTAAGATGTCTATTGTCTTTGGCATACCACTAAAGAGCATTCCTTTGTATTGTTTCTACCTTCTTTTCATGTCCCTTAGGTTGGCTGCAGAGTCTTTGTTACCAGTTGCGTGAACCTTTTTACTTCCAAAAGTTGCTGGCCAGCTTCTTGTCGCAATTTTCAATTGTCTCTAACTGCATTAGCTTTTCAACACTAGGGTAGTCTTTCTTAGCATGTGGTGCCATCTTTATTGTTGGTTGTAATGGTAGCTCCAGTTGTTGGTTTAGACTTTCAACTCTCAGGTTTGGTGGTTGTGTAATTTATAAACTTTGCAGCTTGTTCTTCCAAAGGATACATGACTTTAGTATGGAGCTTAGTCTTGCAGTACATTCCAAAAACGCTAAAATTTAAATATTGAAGATCCAGCCTAAAAACATTACTATAGATACAGCATCCTAGAAGCAAAGCTCTAGCTATCATAGCATATTTATAATATGTAAAGTTAATGAAGGGTAACTCTTCAAACATGATAGTAAAATCCGCACCGCCATACTGATTAAACAGTTGACTTAGCTCCTCTGTAATAGGATACAACATGTGAGACACCTAATCTACAAATATGCACTCAACTCGCAGTTTGCCTCTGATAGTTCTCTCTTAATCGAATCATAATGAGTTCTGTGATGGCCACTAAGTGTTGGACACATATTCTCTTGTTCAAAACTTCAATAGAGAAACAAAGTAGCTTCTCTTGAATATAACCAAACCAAACCAAACTACAGATTAACTTCAACAAGAAAACAAACCAGTTTCAGCAGTCTCAGCAACGATTACAAAGCAAACAACAACAGAACTCCAGCAAGAATTGAACCACATCTATGTAGTGATCAAGGAATTAAGATCTAGTTAAACGCCTTTTTTTCACTCGTTTAAAATTACAGTAGAGAATTCAATAGGATCAAATTGAAATACCAATTGATGTTTGCAGCAGGGATTGAGATCCTGCTTCACTACCAACTAATGGAGAAACCTGGTGTTGATACAACTGATGCAGGACAGCTTTAGGGTTGTTCTGGATCTCACTTTCTGAGGCTGTTTAAGGCAGTGAGCAATAATCTTAGGATTTGAGTTGATCCTTAGATGGTCAATATATATAGGTTTGATGGAGATTAAATGTCGGATGTTTAGGAATTCAATGGAGGTTGTTTGATAGTTGGAATACAGGATTGAGTTGCAGGAAATAGTAGAACTATTAGAGTCACACTAATAGGGTTCCATAAGTCATGCCTAGAGGATAGAAAAACCTACTCTTCACACCTAGGGCTCTTTAGGGGTCACACCTAACAGAAGATTGAGTCACACAATCAAAGCTAAGTTGCTGGAGTTTTATTCATAAACTGCAATGAAAATATTGAAATACTAAATCCAATGACTTGGATTGCTAAACCTACAAAATAATTATTCCTATTTAGAACAAGAAAACTTAATAACTTGAAGAGTAATAAAATAAAATACTAATAAAGCCTAGGCCTAGATAATTTTGCAAAAAAATCTTGAAATTACCTAAATACCCTCGTCTTGGAAAAGACAAATTTTACTTCTTTTGTTGTCTGCATCAGCAGGTGAGGCCAAAAACTAGCATGAATAGGATTTTCAGCTAAAATTGTTCAAGTTGGATTACCGATGTCTTTGACTTGATATCATTATTTTTGCCACGGAAATTCCTGTCTCTCTTACTTCCTTTACATGTATAATATCTAGTTATCCAATTCATTAAATTTATGATATTTTATCCCAAAACATGTTAAACATTATAATATATTGCTGAAATTTGGTATATAATACCTATCAAACAGATCAAGATAAAAAAATATAATTCATCATCATTGTATTGCTAATATTTGAATGTCTGTCATGCATCAAAACATCATTTATAGTCAGATGTCTCCATTATTAACCAATTGATAGAGAAGAGAGTTGGAGGGGGAGAGAGAGAGAGAGGGGGAGGACCTGTCCGTGATGAGATACAACTAAGGTACATGCCTGCTGAAACCAAGGCTCCCCATCAATTTGTACAGGTAACGCTGCAAGGAGTTGTATCTTAATAGACTGCCCCTGTGCAAGCCTTCGAGCGCGAGAAAGCCCCACCTATACCAACATGGAATAGCAGTTCAGGTCATTTTCGTAGACAAAATTGAACCTCAAAGTATAAAAGTATGAGTTAAATAGGGTAAATCCCAAGTTGGCACTCAAAGTCATGTTCTCTATTGAGATGTCAAGTATATAGTCTGTTTGGGAAATGCAAATACGGGCAACATCATAAAAGTAAAAGTTATAGATGTAGGTTTAAATTAACCTACAATATGTGCTCTTGAATATGTTCTTAAGACTATAATAAGTACTATTCTTATGCTTTGGGGGAATTAAGTTATCAATAAAAACTTGCAAATGTCACTAATCTTAAAATCACCTCTGAAAACTTTCGCTCATATGAATTGGAACACACACACAGGGAAAAGATAAATTTATACAACTTTTTCGATATACTATTTCTTATAAACCAACCATAAATTGGTATTTCTATTCACATAAATAATTTCAAGTGAATTGAATGCTTATAAGTAGTTCTCCATAGTCACTTTTAAGAAATTCAGTTTTCATTTTAAGATAAGTATGAATGGAGCAATCACAATGTAGAAAGAGCTTATAAAATGTCTAACTTGATATTTGATATGAATGATCTATTTTAATAAATTATTAAACCAAATCAATATAAAAATGTGCAAATCCATCCCTCCTCTACAAACACAAATGCATGTATGCTCAAACATAGTATTTTACTATTTTCAAAGCACACCTGAAGCTTTCCAAGGTGCCACGTTCCAGATATGCTCACAACCTCTAGTATCTTATCATGCATGGATTGTGGATCAAAATTATCGTAAGTTTCATCCTCATTTTGCCATAGGTCTACACCACCCATATAGCTTCCAATGTTTGCAACTAGTACACCCTCCGCATCCTGCAATGTTGTTGAACAAAATCATATTGATGCAGACAACAAAAGAAGCAAAATTAATGTCTTTTAGTAGACAAGAGTATTTATGTAATTTCCAGATTTGCTGGAAAATCTGGAGAATTGTCCAAATTAAAGTTTTATTTTCTATTTAATATTCTACTAGTTCTAAACTACTTAGCTTTATTTGATTTTTCCTATTCTAAATAGACTTAGTATTGTCTTATATAGGAAAATAAGTCCATGTTGGACTTGGAGTACCAGCAACTCTATATAAAGATTATGTATGTTCCATAGAGAATCAGTTTATGAATAAAATTCCAGCAATTAAGCTTTTGATTGTGCAACTCAATCTTCCCTAAGGTGTGACTCCTAAGAACCGTAGGGGTGAAGCTTAGTTTTTCTATCCTCTAGGTGTGACTCCTAGAAACCCTACAATTTGGCTCTAATAGTTACTACAATTTCCAGCAACTCAAACCCTATATTCCAAATCAAACAACCTCCATTGAATTCCTAAATCTCCAGTCGTTCAACCCATCAATCCTATAGTTATTAACCATCTCAACTCAAACCAGAAAATTACTGTCCACAACCCTAAACAGCCTCTGAAAGTCAGATTCAGATCAGCCACCGAAGCTGTCCTGCACCACATATAATTCCTAGTAGTAAGTGAATAAAATTTGTCACTTTCAGTAGTCAAAGAGGAGACTCCAGACATTAATTAATTCATTGTTATGCTACACTACTTAAAATTAATCAGAAAGACCTACCTAGGGTGAATTATTGGTTGAGCAGCAATAATAAATTTAGCAAAAAAATATTCGCATGAACTGGGTTTATGCCAACACAAGTCTAGGAAGCTGAATGATATGCAGGCAATGAAGCATGGAAAACAGTCATGAAATTTGCCTTTTTATTAGGCCATTGTATTACAAATTATTTTATTTAACCATGATTAACAAAATCAACAGAGAAATATAGGAAAAGGTTCATGAGCTGTAAATATAATTCATATTATTCTATTGTGCAAAGATCATGCTACTTCTTGGAATTTTTTTATAACACAAGAAACCACAGTACATTTAACAGAGGCAAAAAAAGTCACCAGCATAAGTCCATAGCATTTATATTATCTAGATTGTTAAAATGAGGGAGATACTCACCTCAGGGACCTCTATCTCAACACCATCCACTTCCACTCTCACTTGCCATGGGAAATCAGCAAATGTTCTATCCATTATACTCCTAGCTCCTTCTCTTGCATACAGAACTTTGTTCATGAACTGCAGTTATATCCTCACATTTTCAGCCAATAAAGCTTGAAAACCCTTTGTCAAGCTGAAATATGATGACTAAGGCAAAGAATAAATACAACATCATCCAGCACAGCAAGATACCAAGTTATCTACAAACCTCCTGAGTTACCCATTTATGTTCGCACTTCCATATTCTATTATAATTTTAAATAAAACAAAAGCAAATCTTTATGTTTTTTTTTTCAAAGCTGTATCATCTATATTCCATTCAATCTCTACCTTGTGCATCAATTTATGCTGGGTGTATTCTACTTGATGCTATTATTGTCCAAGTCTCAATTAAGTTGAATTAAGGTAGAATGGATGGTTACAATGTGGTGACTTTTACCCACCATTACCATTTGCAATGCATTGCAAGAAAAAGTAATTCAAATCCAAATACCAAAACACACAAATAGATTTATGCATTTTCCTCAAACTGAAGAGAGTGTGTGTGTGTGTGTGCACATGTGTTATTAAGAATCCTTCCATAATAGGTCTGGAGAATGTACACATAATGCTCAAACCCTATAGCTAATTTTTGTGTTTCCAGAAAATAGGGAGTTTTACTACTCCATATTTAGATTAATTAATAGTGGAGTAAAATAATTCATTGCTTTCTATTCCTATATTTTATAAAGAATCCACCCAGGGCCTATTTAACCGTCAACTATAATTATCTTAAGCAGGAAGGTCTGTAGTCATAATTAGTGGTGATGGGATATAATTTGCCCTCTAATATACTCTTATTGAATAAGAGACTCAAACCTCAACCTTGATTTTTGAAGGCAGTATGTCTGGTTAACTGTTTTTGTAAAGCTGTTCATAACTTGACCTAACATCCTTGATTAGATGGCAGTGACATCTTGTTAACTGGCTCTATAAAGCAGTTCATATTCATCCTAACCAAAGCTTGCAATTACCTGGTTGTAAAACTTCTCAGGATTCTCCTCTCGTAGATTGTGAATTTCCAAAGCAACCTTGGCATCACACCCAACTCCTGTAAACAATGCTTGCACAGTAAGCAAATGCAATACATAACACCATCTGTAACAGAAAAAACATCCACTCCACAGTCATGGAACCTCAAGAACAATGCATTAGCCATTCAAATCTAATTGTGGATCACATTATCCTCCATCCAGAGCATGTCTCATTGAATAGGCCTTTCTTAAAGCTATATGAGGAAATGCCCATGGTTGATCTTTATGGTTCAGACACTAGGAACTAACGACAATGCTTGGATAAGAAACGTCAGATCTCATACTTGCCGATCATCAGTTGACCCAGCAGACCCAGCTAAACCCAACCATAAAATGCTTGAAGAGCATTAATTTGAAGACCAAAGCAAGATTTAAGGTGACATCTTGAAACTCAATATGGTTTAGTCAAAGTTTATGATCTACTTTACTTATCCTAATGTCCTATAGATGACACAACCATTTATAAGTGAAAGTTTTTATCTGGGTAACACCTGTATCTATCAGATTATTTATATAGGTAATTTCATAACATATGCTTACCTAAATAGTTGTTCATATATTGTGGTGGCTGAAGTTGTTTTCCCTGATTTTTTACAATTGCTACTTTCCACCGATCAAGGATGGTCACTGCAGCATGCTCGATGTGGTGTAACAATGTCCAAAGGCCTCCTTGTCTCTCCACTGAGCCCAAGCCACCTCCCCAGGACAGTACTCTAGCCAGATCATTTCCAGTTCCCGCAGGAAGAATAGCTACTGGTGGAGGAGAGACAAAATTTTGCTTCTCTATGGTATTCAGAACCCAGCCAACAGTACCATCCCCTCCACAAACAAGAACTCTGAAGTGAGGAACCTTCTTGAATAAATAAAGGCCAACCTCCGGTCCTTGTGTTGAGCTCAATTCAAATACCTGCAAGATATATCACCGCCAATGACCCTCACATGCAGCACATTGGAAGTATGCTAAGACAAGAACAAAGGTGGATTGAAAAGGAAAAAGTTGCCCAAGGGTAAAAGTAGATTGACCGTCGACTGTTAATTATTCAAATGTAATATCATACGCTTCTGTAAAGCCACAGACAGACAGTTCAGAGACTTCTTTGCATTAGATGCCATTAAGTCATAAGTGAAATTTAGCAATAGATGATAAAAACAATCACTTGATTATTCAGAGGTAACAAGCTATCTATTCCAAGAAGGTCGCATTTCCATTATTATCAAAACCATGCACAATCTGGATATTATTTACAGTTTCACAAGGAAACATGTAACAAACTCAACTTCAATAACCAGATACTGATGTTAATGTCAGATATTTAAACATCAAAGACATTTCCACAAAAAACAGTCTCAAAAAAAAAGGGAGAAATCACTTTAAAAGGGGGCCAACACCTCAGAAAAACATGTTCCCACAATATATTTGGATTCCTACACTTCTACTGAAGAAAATAGATGTGAATGTGGGAGGTTTATTGCCAGCAAAAGCTGGAGGTGCTAAAGTAGAGTCTGAAATCAAGGAGGATCTTCACATGAAGCCCATTGCATTGTTAGTTCTGTTGAAATCTTGACAAGTCCCAGAAAGAACCCCACATGCCTTGTTTCTCAAGAACATTCGTGCAATTCATTACTTTACAAAACTTGACTGAAAAATACTGAATAGAGCACGATTAAAAGAGACAATTGTTTTGGTTTTGGATTCAACTGTGTTTTAATAAACATGTAAACACCAGAAACCGACTTGCAGACATCTGACCTAAATAGTACTCATTGTGAGCTTTTATATATGGTGACAAAATCTAAATTCTATGCTGTCTTAACATCACCTAGTCAAAACACAAAATTGGCTATATTTGCTTATGAGTTTCCTTGCTACCATCTTTTACCAGATGCGAAAATTGTAACACAGATGGGTGATTCCCCATTTGGTATGAGGTGTATAAAGCAATGTCAAAATTAAATTTGATTTGTCATTTTATGGATTAGCTTGTAAACAACCTCTATCAATTTTTCTTTTTCTTCTTTGGAAAAAAAGAAAAAAAGTTGTTCGAATGAAGAAGATAAAAGATTAAATAATCAAACAGAAATAAACCAAAACAAATGGCTTGTAATTCATCTGAAAATCAGTGGCATCAAAAACTTTTTGAGTTAAAAATATATCATCATAACATGCCTTTTCACAAAAGCCATCACCACATGTTCGAAAAGCATTAAAAGGTTATTACAGTTTCATTACTTCACATATACAGGATCCATGTTGAAGGAAGGACACATATAAAGCAATTCAATGAATGAAGTGCAAAGAAAAATGGTGTTGATCTAAGCAAAATTCATTGGAGAAGGGTTCATACCTGTACAGGATTCAGAAGGTAGTTCAGGCGCTGCCTGAGAGAATCTCCACGTTGAGCGCCACTTTTCTTGTTGATAAAAACTAACAAGGGTCTTGCATCAGGAGGCAACTCTGTTATTTCATACCTCTGTTTCATTATTAATATCTGAGACTCATCCTTCTGATTAATCGACCCACTTCTTCTAAAGCTAGACTTTGAGTCTAACTTATCTACGCCATCATGGTGAGGACTCCCCACATTCAAGCTATCATTACAGCCTTCCTCACGAGCAGGAGAACCATTTAATGTAGGATGGGTATCAGCTGTGCTTTCTGTAGACATGTCGCAAGTACCACCACTATTACCTGTATCAACAGACGGTTCATTACCATGTTTGTACTTCTTACTCTGACTTCTAATGCTTGCACGCACTGAAGATGCAATCTCATTTGCTCCATGTGTTATTGAGCTCAAAAATCCACCTGATGCATTCAATTCCTTAACATACAGTGGTGATAAAATCAGCCTTTTGAATGGGCCTAAATCACAAATATCACCAGTTTCATTAGACATACTACTGTGACAATCAACATGAACAAGTCTTTGACACCACAAGCAACACCATATAGGAGATCCACCGAGAAAAGACCCACTACATGGCTCTTCACAATAACTACAAAAGGAAGCTTCATCAGGTTGATCAGTTATCTCCGTCCATCGAACAGCCCACTGATGCATCACATGCTCACAGCCAACCATAGATACACACTTGCAATCCTTGTGTGCGCTTGAAGAGCAATGAAGGTGAGCCGATGCACCACAAATGCTACAACAGTGAACAAAACTGTCTGATGACACCATAGGGCCAAGAGTTTGAGGAGGGGACAAGGAGTTTAAGCAAACACAGCAAGTTGAGTTCTTCCCGCGAGAAACAGATTCGAGAAACCAAGTGTGGGGAGCTAGAGGAACCTTGTGCCTTGTTTTAGGGTTTTTTTGGACCTTGCTATGGCTTTCATCCAACTTAGATTAATGTTTCTTCTCCACTGGAAAGCGGTGTAAGCAATAGTCAAAATTCCAACTAATGCAGCAAGAAAGCAAGAAATAATGAAGAGACCAGACACAGTTGGATTCTTGTTATTCCAACTAGGAAACCACATTTCAATGTCTGTATCATCCATTCTTCAATTCGCTTCCTTTCTGTCACATTCTATAACCTCTACGATAAACCAGGGAACCACAAATCACACAACAACAACAGCAACATATGCACCAAAACTAGTTTGACTATCAAGCCGTAAAGAAGCAAAGTACCATAAATTTAAACCTTAAACCCACTACCAAATGCTGTTATCAACGCAAAATCATACTACAATATGGCACTACTGTTTCTCCAATAAAGATATCTTTCAACTGCTACTACACATATTACACCATGCCGGTTTCAGCCAAAAAAAAAATAATAATAAATAAATAAAATAAAGAAGAATTAAGTCAGAGACAAATTCTAGGAACAAACATATTAATACCATATCTTTCACTTTTGTAAGTTAAATTTAAACAATACTACTAGTAAACAATTGTTGCTACTAAGATTGATTTTCGCATAAAAAATAACAATAATTAAAATGTTCGTCCTTTCATCCTTCCATCATCATATTCTACTAAACGGAACAAAACTTAGAAAACCACCATTGACACAGCAATTCTTCAACAAATTAACAAAAAACACAACAGGGAAAGAAAATAGAACTTACAGTGAAGAGATACGGATCGAGACGATAGAAATAGAAGCAAACCCTAAGGTTTGATTTGATTTAGGGAGAGAGAAATTGAAATCCAAGTTTTGAATTTTGAAGCCAGTAGAAGCAAAGCAATATTCGAAATCGAGAAAAAAACAAAGGAAAAACAAAAAAGGGCTTCCGAGTTTCTAACTTAAGAGTAAATTATAAATTTGTCCCTCTTGCTTTGTTAAACGAATTAATTAGTATTTCTAATTTCAAAAATTAATGGTTTATTTTTGTTATTTTTTAATTTATTTTAATTTTTTATTTCTTAAAAAATAAGTAAAATAACAAAATTGATGAAAAAGTAAGAGAGAAATTGAAATCCTAATTTTGAATTTTGAAGCCAGTAGAAGCAAAGCAATATTCGAAATCGAGAAAAAAAACAAAAGAAAAAAAGTATGAGCTTTCAAGTTTCTAACTTAAGAGTAAATTATAAATTAGTGCCTCTTGCTTTGTTAAACAAATTAATTAATATTTTTAGTTTTAAAATTAATTATTTAGTTTTTTTGTTATTTTTAATTTATTTTGATTTTTTTTAAAAGATAAGTACAAATATAAAAAAAATTGATGAAAAAATAAGATATTTTATAAAAAATATTAAATTATTCTTAATCAATGATCGATTAAAATAACTAAATAATTAATTTTTAAAATCAGAGTAATTAATTAATTAATTTCTCGGAATGAGAAGGACTCATTTATAATTTACTCACTAACTTAACAAGAGTAAATTATAAATTAGTCTCTTTAACATATTCATTAATTTTACTTATTTAAAAAATAATTTTTTTAACTTTTTCAATTTATTTTGATTTTTAATAAAAAATTAAAAAAATAATTTTTAAATAAAAAAACTAATTAATTTATTTCTTAAAAAATTGAGGAATTAATTTATAATTTATTCAATTTAATTTGTTGATAGTTTGTGTATGCTCGATTTTAAAAAAAAATAATTATTAAATTAACTAATTTTTAAATGGTTCCACTTGCTCAATCGTATTAGCTAACATGGTTTAGGAAAGAAGAAGAGCTAGTGATGCGTTAGAAATGCAAGGTATTCATTGCGGGTTATAAAGACTTTGAGCAGTGTGACGTGGCCCTATGGATATTTGCCACATTATTTTGGAGAGACCATGGTAATTTGACAAGAGCGTCATCCATAATGATTATGAGAACACTTATACTGCATCACTTAACGAGAAGCAATATAACTTGTGTAATATCTATGACATAAAACTCTTATTGAATGTAAATATATTATAAAAATATTTTATTTAATTAATAAAAGTATGTTTATTATAAGTGACGAATGAAAGTTTAAATTTTAATTAAGAATAAAATAAGTATAAGTATGATTAAAAGGTAAGGTTAATAGAATGAGTACAGATTGAATCGAAATTGGTACTATTAATTGTTATGGTTATATTTTAACCTAGGAACGCTAATAAAACACCTAAAGGTATAATAGTAAAAATTAAAAATTTGGGTATTAAATTAAAATAATCAAGAAATTTAAATGACCACTTTGTAATTTGGAAATGCTAATATTAAGGACTTATTTATGGAAAATTAAAAGTTTTAGGACTGAAATTGAAGGATTGGAAGGACCCAAATGAAGCAATTAAAAGTTAGGGACTAAAGTGTAAAGTTGTGACACTTTGAAGGAGTTATTAAATTCATTTTGAGGGAAAATTTTATCTAGAGAAATCTGGAAAAATTGAGAGAAAAGGAGAAGAAGAGAGGAGGAAAAACTAGGGAGAAATAAAGGAAAAATATCTAAGGAAGAAAGAAATATCTAAGGATAAAAAGATGGAGAAGATTAAGAAAACTCTAGAAAACTTACAACCAACCTTAAGATTGATTCAAGTGTGACACACTTGGCTTAATTCTAAGAGGAAACCATGGCTATAAAAGAGGAAGAAGAAGATGGAAGAAGGGTTACAAGCTAGAAGCATTTAAGTAACCTTAAAGGAGCAATTATACCAACCAAGAAGAAAATCACCCACCCACCGCTCCAAACTACCTTAGATACCTTAGAAAGACCCTAAAATCAACTTAGAACCAGCTTGGAAGATCAAATCAAAGAGGAGAAAAAAGTACTATTTGGGTCGAAACTTTTAGGAAGGAAAAGGGAAGGAAGCCAATGAGAAAGAAAGGAAGATTGACCAATCTTCAAGTGAGGTAAGTGTAATTCTCACTACATCCTAAGAAAATACTTATTTTGATGCATAGTTGATGATAATTTGGTGATTTGATGTTTGAAGTTTAGTGGTTGAATGATTGGTGAAATTGTGTTATTAGAGTTGATTGGTTATGTTGGTGCGTATACATTCTTGATGATTCGAATTTGATTTTTGGATGGTTAATTGGGGTTAATTCATGAGTTTTAAGGCTATCCTTGTTCTTAGAACAAGGTGGTTGAATGTCCTTAAACATGATAAAATTGGTGATTTTAAGACTTAATGTTTACAAGGCGTTTGATGAAATGCTTTAATGATGTTTATGGTGTTGGTTTGGAAAAGTGGCCATTAAATCTCTTTATGGACAATTTTAGCCAAAGGAGAATTTGATTTTGAAAGATTAAATTAACCTATTTGATGTTAAAATGATAAAAAAAAAATATTAGGTTAAGAGGTTAGAAGTGAAAATTTAAGGAAAATTGATGAAATGGAAGTTGTCCTTCCATTTGTCAAGTTTTGACCAAGAATGAAAAAACAAAGACAAGAGAGGTTAATTTGAGAATGAAATTTTGAGATTTAGAGGTATAAGGTAGGAAAAATGATTGTAAACATGTGAAAAATAGATGATTTATGTTGTTTAAACATTCGGCCATAATGTGTATATAAAGCATGAATTATGTTCATTGCTTATACATGTTTACATGCATACTTGTTTTATATGGAATATTTATATAATGTATTATTTATGTTACATGTTATTGAGGTTTGAAAGTAAACATGTTGAGGTTTATGTTAAATGCATTGTATTTTATTTAAGTGTATTTGTGCATCATAATCATGAAAGAGGTTTTACATTCATGATTTTGATGAAAGAAAAAAGGGAAAGGAAAGGTTTTTAAAGAGAAATGGCTAAGTACCTTATTGAGGTTATGGAAGAGGAATGATCATCGTCTCTTGAGGAAAAGGACATGCTTAGCATGTAGAGAAAAATGTTATAGGAAGGTACCTAGTGCTTTTTATGATTTTTTCACAAATTATATGTTTTTTAAAAAATCGATTATATACACAATCAGCGAGGTGCATCCAAAGAGGAAAACGAATTTCAAAGGCATAAAATGGTTTTTCATAAAAGTTACATCGAGTGCATCACCCGCATTACATGGATTACACTCACTCGGGCATTGCTTAACTTTGTTTCTTATTGTGTTGGAGAAAAGAAAGATGATTAAGGATTATCACCAAGAAACTTGAAGACTTACTCGTATGTGTGCTTAGTGTGTTAGGATATGAAAAACTTTACCTTTGCTTAACCGAATTTTGGTCATGTATACTTGGTAATAAGTTAAGCAAATTTTAGGTTGTATTAATGGTTGGTTTGATTGAATGTCAAGTTTAATATTGTGGCATAGATTGATTGACTATATAACTTGTTAACCTAAATGGTCACTTAGATATTTGGCATGATTCAAAGGAATTAATTGATTGTGGGAAGGAATGAATTAAAGGTATAATGAAGGTAATACTTTGATGATTACTTGATTTAATAACTACTGAATTAAGGATAGAAAGTAAGGAATTAAAAAGGACATGACAAAAAGGGCGATAAGGTTAAGACTTAAAAGGAAATTAATGGTTAAGGAGTAAATGTATTTAATGGATTAGTTTCAAATAAATTAGGAACCAAAGCTCCTTAAGTCCATTTTTTTTAATGGCCAAAATATTATTTAAAGGTTTAAATAAATTTATTAAATGCTTTATTGAATTTTTGGATATGGAAGTTTTATAAAAATAATAGTATTAAATCTTAATTTGATGGTTACTATTCATGGATTATTTTCTAATTAAATGTAATACTTGATAGTTTAAATATTTTTCAAATAAAATCAATATCAAATAATCCTACCTTATTGTACGTAATATTTAAAAATGAAATATTCCTAAATTAAATTTTATATGAATTTCTAAAATGAATTTAAGAAAAATAAGAGACATGGTTCAACTTATTTTAATGTAAGGTATTTTATTTAAATTATTAATTTGGATTTCAAGGATATAGATTTTTGATCCTAATATGACATTTAATATTTCTATACATGGTGTAGGAATATTAATTGAAGTAGGTTGAAGTTTTGAAAAAGTTTATGCCTATATTTTATTTGATGTGGACATATTATTCCATATTTATTTAGGACCCCATAGAAGAATTGTCCACTAAACCAATAAACCGAAAATATGAAGGGAGGACGCTTATTGGCTTGTATTCATTACACTCCAAATATAAGTCAATGCTAGTAATATTCTTGATCTATTTAGGTCCTAGGTCATGGGTGCTACAACTTGAAGCCAATGAGATTAGATCAAACCATGCAAGAGTGGGTTTGTAGAGGTGAGTCATTTTACTCTTCTTGTTATATCAATAAGATGAATACTAACTTAGAGTGTGAAGGTTTAAATGCATTGCATGATAGCATATTTAAGCATGTTAAGACAAGTAAGGTAGAGAGTTTTATTGATTTTAAATACTAGTCCTAGATATGATGTGTACAATGATGATGTAAATATTATTTATGATATTAATATTGAATTGAATGGAGGAATTTCTATTGTACCTCATGATATGAGAAAGTATGGTGAAATGAGGTGAGTCATTTTACTCTTCTTGCTATATCGGTAAGATGAATACTAACTTAGAGTGTGAAGGTTTAAATGCATTGCATGATAGCGTATTTAAGCATGCTAAGACTAGTAAGGTAGAAAGTTTTATTGATTTTAAATACTAGTCCTAGATATGATGTGTACAATGATGATGTAAACATTCTTTATGATATTAATATTGAATTGAATGGAGGAATTTCTATTGTACATCATGATATGAGAAAGTATGGTGAGATGCTTGAGGTTAGGAAGAATGTGCTATGGATAAGCATGGAGATATCCTTATAGATTTTGATTTTGATGTTATGGATGGTACAATTTGTGTTGGTAGCAATGTTGCCAATTGTGTTGTTAATGTTGTTGCCAATTGTGTTGCTAGTGTTGATGCCAATTGTGTTACTAGTGTTATTATCATTGGTAATAATGATGATGCTATCATGATTCATAAGGTCGGCATGACTATTGTTCGGGGTAGTAGGGGTGGCTTAAAAGTTGTCCGAGATATAGGAATGAGCAAATAGGTTTTTACCATAGTGAATCAAGGAAACTTAAGGATTAATGTTATTAAACTTGAAAAGAAAGAAGATGGTGCTAATATTGAGACTAATCAAATTAGTTTTAAAGCTATTACCATGGGAAAATTAAGTGGAGTTGCTATTTGTTATGTCTATTATTTACATAGTTTTTGCCTTAATTTTTATAGAATAATTTTAGATTTATAGTAAATTTTTATTTCATTTACCTATTATTTTTATATTATCGTTATTTTTAGTTATATATATGTTTTTATCATTAAATTATGTTTTATCTAATTTCAGGATCAAATTGGAAGCAAAGAAGATCGCAGGAAGGAAAGTGATTAAAAGAAGTCACGGCCATGACTTATGAGGAAAAGAAAAGCTCACGACCATGACCAATTAGTCACGGACGTGACCTTTCATTACGGCACGATAGTGGCTTGTTTCACACGAGCGTGACCTTCCATTAAGTCACGGTAGTGACTTGGCTCACATGGGCGTGACAACCGATTTCCTATTCTTCGGGATTACGAGTGAAGTTTGTAGAGTTTTAGCAAACGGAAAGCAAAGATTGAGCGATTTTGAGCGAATTTAATTTTAGGAAATAAGAGCTATAAATAGAAGCGAAGCAGATTTTTGGGATATTCGGCCACCTAT